ATCTCTCTCTCTCTCTCTCTCTCTCTCTCTCTCGCTCTCGCTCTCACAGTGTGTTGGGAGTTGGCGTCGGCGCATTTCCGTTTCCGGCCGTCGGCAGACCGGAAACCGCGACCGACGATAAATATGCGGATGGATTTATGGGGTATTTTTTAGCGGGGAGGGGAGCGCGCATGCGTGGGATTAGTGATTTGCAACAGAACAGAATTCTAACGGCAAAACTATACGGTGATAGCGGGTGTATTTCTGATTCTCGTGTTTGTGTTAGAAAACGGCGGATTTCCTTGCTTCCTGGAAGGGAGCGGGCGCTCTGGTGCTCACACACACACGCCCGTGCATGTATATATATATATATATATATATATATATATATATATATAATCATCTCTTTCCTCTCATACTTTCTCGTCGCTCTCGGCCGCCGGGCGCTCTATCTCTCACTCACTCTCACTTTCTCTATTCCGGTCTCTTGCGTGCGCGCGCCAGCCACACACACACACACACACCACACACACCACCACACACACACACAAAACACACCGACACATGCACACTGACACATCACACACACACGTCACGCTGAGCCAAACATACATACATACATACATACACACAACCAACGCCACAACACACGTAAGCACACCCACCGTGGGCTCACACACGACAGGTCCGCATTCCCGGCACACACACACACACATCACAGATCCCGCAACACACATAATATATATATATAATATATATATATATAACTATATACATATAATTAACATATATATATAAACATATATTCATTTAGAATACAACATAATAGATTCACTTGATGAGTGTATAAGGGAGTCAACAATTAAGGAACATCTTGGATTAAGAAAGCCATCTGGATCGCGTCAAACACCGCCCCGAAACATCAATCCGTGACGAGAGGGGGATACACGACTCACTCACGTGTGACCCAAGCTGCCCTACCACTACGCCATCATAGTGCCAAAATCGATAACGTCAGTCCAGTGACACAATTTCTGGAAAGTTAAACAGTTTCTGACTGCGACACTGACGTAAAGTGACAGCGCATACGTCACTCTCCCGTCCCTCACAGCAGAATAGAACCACCCAACAACAGCCTTGGACAATAGCTGCTCGATTTCGTCTTTAGAAACAGACTTTTTTCGCAAAATTTTCTCGTGGTTAAAATCTGAGTGCACTACTTTGTATTATGCGCGCAAGGTAGACGTCTAGAAAACG